TCCATAGTTCTCCCAATAGACACTCTGTGCACATGCTTTATAAACTACACCAGAGACGGCAGACTACCATGTCTGGGAGGCACTTACAGCTGTGTATACCAGGCCAGGACCATGCCACATCCTCACTCTAGACCCTTTATCAGAGATACATACACTGAGAGCCACTGAGCTCACCTCTGCCAACCCAAGTGTATCTGTACTTTGGCCATGAGGGATCAGCAAACAGGATTTTGACTTCCTGTCATCACTCAAGTTGGCCCTCTCTCTCCTGATGCTTAGGGTAACATCAGTCCCTGTCCCCCAGGTGGCCAGGAGGCTCTGAACGTGGGCAGTCAGAGGCATGTGCCTTTTGGAAAGAACTTAGTTTATGCCTAAAGGTAAGTCAGTGACAACATAGGGACAGACATTTTTACTTGAACAGGAACAAAATAGGTATGGGCCTTAAGAGGAGCTCCTCTGTGTCCGTGTTCACTATCTGAGGAAGGCATGTTCTTGTCCTGGGCGCTGCTTGCACATGTGGAGACCTTTATCCATCAGGGACCGGGAGCTGCTCAGGGAGTGCAGAGGCTTCGGCCACAGCAAATGGACAACATTTGGCCCAGAACCCAGGCCAGACCAGGTTAGCACATTGTAAGTTTCACAATGCTGAAAGCCAAACCAACCAGCTAACTATAGGCTGGGTGGAATAGTTCCATGTTTATTGTATTACTAGAAGCCTGGTGCACGAATTAATGCACCAGTGGGGTCCCTCGGCCTGACCTGTGGGATTGGGCCGAAACTGGCTCTCCAACATCCCCTGAGGGGTCCCAGATTGCGAGAGGGTGCAGACCAGGCCGAGGGACCCCACCAGTGCAGGATGGGGCCGGAGAGGGACGCGGGAGGTTGTTCAGCAGGGGAGGGACTGTGGGAGGGCTCCAGGGCATGTCTGGCCCATCTCACCTGATTGGCCAGACCCCAGCAGCAAGCTAAACTACCGGTAGGAGCGTCTGCCCCCTGGTAGTTAGTGCATGTCATAGCAAGCAGTTGAGTGGCCTTAGCATATCATTAGCATATTACACTTTGATTGGTTGAATGGCCAACGGGATGACCGGACACTTAGCATATTAGGCTTTTATTATATAGGATTCCTATTCTGAAAAATATCCATTCATGTTGTTTGTTAATTTTTTGTCATTTTTTATTGATTCATAGTACTGCTTTATATATTTAATTCTACCTCTGTATATCTATGTATCCATCAATGCATCTATCTAAAAGCACACTTTCAAATAAGACTTCTTTTAATAAGAATAATAACCTGCATTGAATAAAGCCATATGGTTTTATAAATTGCTCTAGTTATGAAGGTCTTAAGTACAAAAGTTTTCATTCCCTTTACTCTGATTTTCTAAGGGACAGAACTAGACCCAATATCAGACAAATTATAATTTATCAGATGGAAAAAAAATTAAGTGGAGAAAAACCCACCACTGTTGTCATTATTCACTTTACCTTTTGGAGACTAGAATAATGATTTTTTTGTTTCTGAATAATTTTTTTCAACATTAAATTTCAGAGAGAAGAAAAGTTTAAACAACCCCCCTCATAGTCACTTTCATTACGTATCTCAGAGTCACATGCACTCTAGGGCCTGTTCTGCCCTACTTTGGCTGGGGGAACTGAGAAAAAAGAAAAAAAAAAAAAAAGATGTGCCTGTGACTGGATACAATGTGGGTGGTCCTGACATTCACCCAGCAATCTTCCAACTAAACACTCCCAAACCACAGGCAGCAGGGGCTTTCCCTGTATGGTCAATACCCTCTCAATAGAGTGCCTACATGCCAAGCACTGGATGTCAGACCCCCCGGACAGTGAAAGAAAGGATGCTAAGTCCCGCAACCCACCCTTCAGGGCGTACAATGGATTAGGAAGACATGTGAAAGAGTAAGAGTTTTGAGTAACAGTGTGAGAAAGCAGTGGAAGGTTGTCACGATTTTCATTGTTGGGCTAAAATGAATGATCAAGAAGCAAAAGAAGAAATGTGTGCCCTGGGAGCCGCCTCAAGTGAAGTTTGTTGGTTCTGTATTTCCCTTTCTTCCAGCTTCCACCAGGATCCATGGGTCACAGGCAGGGGAGCCAGGGTCAGTTCCTCCCACCCATGTCAGGTCCACGGTGGTCGTCTCCGGGAAGCTCTCCCATCCAGGGGGCCCTCCCCCAATCTCTGAGATGGGAGTCCAGTGGAGAGTCCCTCCCCCACTCTCAGACACTTTCACTTTCACAGCAGCCCTGGCTCAGCACCTACAAGATTTAGGGGAAACTGGAAGCACAGATCACCAAAGAAAAGAAAAGGCTGGGGCCCCTTTCTGGGCCACATAATGAGTCCATTTCTTGCTGTTTTCCTAAGCAAGTGCAGAACCCAGCATCTTCTGCGGGCTACTGCCCGGGCCCCTGAAGTTCTATCTTGCTAAGAGCCTCTTGAAAATTTACCAGGACAGTGAATACGAGGTAATATCTGGCTTCCAGCCCCAAGTGACCTTAAAGTCACACTGTTTTGGTGATCATCTCCTCCAGTGGTTCTCAGCTAGGGAAGGTGTCCCTCCCCAGACGTCTGGCCATGTCTGGAGACGTGTCTGGTTGTCACAACTGGTGGTGGTAGGGGGGAAGAGGTGCTATTATCATCCAGTGGGTGGAAGCCAACGATGCTGCTATTGTGTTATAATGCACAGATCAGCCCCCATCACTAAGAACTACCCAGACCAAAATACCCATAGTGTCCAGGTTGAGAAACCCTGATCTACCCTGCACTAGGCCAGGCTGGAAAAACCACAGGCCATTGGCTTCCCTGACATGATTCCCAGCTCCACACATCTTCTTAATAGAGGTGAGTTTCTTTGACATACAGGGTGGGGCGAAAGTGGATAGGTTTGTAGTTGTTCGTATGGAAAATAATACAATAAATAATAATCCAAGAATAAACTCTGTGTTTCACATACTCACAACTGTATACCTACTTTTGCCCCACCTGGACACAGGGCTCTGGAGAGGGGATTGGAGGTCCTATGATTCAGGGACTCTCTCCCCTTGGAGGCCTCAGCTTATAATCTGAATTCTCATTGATGGGACACTCATGAAAGGTATTCCGACTGCAGTCCAGTCTCTAGGGATGACAAACTTATAAATGGCCTGGATAATGACAAGCGCTCCTTTATATTTCATTATACAATTATGTTTTATTAACTAGTACTAAACGATATCTTCTGCTGGTAATCAGTCATTGATTCGGTCAACAAACATTCACTGTGGGCCCTCTAGGACCAGGCACTGTGCTCTATTCTAGATGAATGGTAACTCTCGGAATCTTCTAACTTCAACCATAGCCCCTACAGCAAGACTTCATCCGGTGGGATGGAGAGGTGAGTGCTTGTTAAACTGCAGGTGCTTGGGCCTCCCTCCGGAGATTCTGAGTTCACAAGTCAGGATGGTGCCCAGGAATCTTCATTTTGAGCAAGCACTTTAAGTGACTATGATTCAGGCTACCCATGGGACCATGATTTAAGGAACATTGGTAGAAAACATAAATCTACCCAACCTAATCTCAGGCCTGAGAATATGCAGACCTGAGAGCTAATGTAATTTTCTATAACCCTGAAAAAAAATGTAACTCTTTAATCATCTAATCATTCCTTGTCTCACATTTCCCATTTTTAAACAGAAGGCGAGTAAGACCTGTCAAACACAGATGGTGAAAGGGTAGAATGACCTCATGTAACCAGAAGCAGGACACCGAAATGGAACAGAACCATAGAAGTTTTACTTCTAAAAACAAATGTTTATGACATATAACAGAATGTAAATCAACCAAATACATTGGTTAGGAGAAGAATCTCTTGCTGATGTAAGACATACATGCTAGCTACTCTCTGAACTGACATCGGCATGACAAGACTCCTGGCTTGATTAGGACTAACCTTCCTGGTTACCAAGATAAATGGCTTCTCTGATCACTCTCGATTTTCTTTCAAATCCTTTCTCGGACCTACATATTAACATCCCATTATGTGACTTTGCAATGGATCACTTATTTTAGCAACACGTTAACCACCATTAGAAGCCCAAGTCTAAAGCTTGTTCCAAGCCATTAGAAACACCTTAACACTTGTCTAATATCAAGGAAGTTATCTCACCATATGGGTAGAAGAATAAAACACGAGGAATCATTTTTGGCCCAATTGCTCTACCTAAATTACTGTGATCAATTTAATAGTAGAAGAAACGCACATAGAGAAACACATAATAATAATTATATAACAGATGGAAGTTAGGGTGTCACTATCATTAATGAGAAGAGGTGTGGTTTAAGGGTCAGCGAATTCAGAAAACATGCCAGCGTCCCTTAAGATAATTCATCTAAAATGCATCGCTCTTTGTCAACTTCTCCATCTAAGAATTCCCTTCCATCCTGTCCCTTTAACTAAAATTATCTTTATTATCCCTTCACATGTCTCCATGTTGCTCTCTTGACTACCTTGTTTCCTTTTGCTGCAAGTCTCAGCCCCACCTCAGCCCTGAGCCTGCCGCGAGGGCCTAGAGACCCAGTGGACTCATGGAACAGGCTACCTTGACTTTGATCGCAGAGCAAGCACTTCAAAGACCACAATCTGGGCTCTGACCAAAACCCACTCCAAATATGGATAAGTGTCCACACAGGAGGGGAATAATCCTTCCATGATAGAGAAAAACTTACAGTTTTGTGTGCGATCGGTAGCTTTAACCCATCCAAAGTAACCCAGATCCCACACACCAGGGAGCTCCATTCCACGGCCACCTCCTAACAAAAGAGAAGCCCCTCCCGGCATTTGGAAACTTTGAGCCAACCTATCAACTTGAATGCAAATTTCCCCCCAAACCCAGATTTGCCAAGACCCATTTTTAGGTAAACTATTCTCCCTGCAGACCAACATGCAAATGGTGGGGGCTCAGGTAGAAGAACCACGAAGGCAGCAAAAAGACACGGACCGTACCTATTTTCCCAGCCTCTCCTTTCAGGTTGAAATCCCAGTTTCTTGGCAATTTCAGGGACATTTTGCTTCCGGTTCTGGTGAGCAGCTGCTGAAGCAGTGAGCCTGCCACGGTTCAGCCGGCCTTTCCAAGCTTTCCCTGTGGCTGTGGCTGGTGCCTGTGTTTTCTCCTTTCAGATTGCTTCACGGGCGGTCTTGGGTTTGAGGTTGATTTGCCAGCGTGTGTCCTCCTCTCTCTCGGATGAAAGGTCCAATCATCTGTGACTTGGGGGATGGCACCCAAACCCCCACCAAACCCCACCCACAGCCCCCAGGGGTTGGTATCTCGTGAAGTGTGCACCCTGCTTCTCTTGCTTTCAGTTTTAGCAGAAATATCCCAGTTGCCACTTCGCTCTGTGTCGTGGGAAGCAAAGCCCCTGGTTGAGAGAATCTCAGGCCTCTCTGAGGCGTGGTCCTCATAAACAACGCTGCTGCCTCTCGGCTTTTTTTTTTTTTTTTTTTTTTTTTTTTTTTTGTTAACTGTCTGCTTCCTTGCATTTGAGGAAGTGGTGGCTGCTCCGTGTAGATGATACATTCTGAACACTCTTTCTTAAGAAGAGGTTTTTTGGAAATGCTTGCAGAAGTACAATGAGTGCTCTAGAAGGCTAGAGCTTTGATTACAAGAAAAAGAACATTCCAAGACTCTCGCCATCTCCCTCTAAGCTCTCCTCCTCACCACATGGATGAGGCATCCAAAAATGATCAGTCAGACAAGCAGCATCCCCCCAAACCTGCCTTCCTTGACATGTTTCCTGCTCCACGGACCACATGGTAAGTTCTCCACCTGCTCAGGATAAAGGTGCCAAGTGACCTCGGCCTGATCTAGGGAGGGTTCTCACGTATGTAGCTAGTAGGTTGGCTTTCGATGGGGAGACCCTCACACATGTTATAATGGTTCTTTGGCATTCTGTGCAGGGTGTGGGTTTGGGAATCAGATCAACATGAGGTCAAAACTCAGTTCTTCCACTTCCTAGCTCTGCAGCTTTTAACAAGTGGTTGAATCTCTCTGGGTCTCAGTGTCCTCAGTGGTAAAATGGGGCTGATGATAACCGTGACTGCACGGAACAGCGAAGGCATCTAGCACAGAACTCGACACACAGTGGTTGCACCACAAATGTTATGTCAACCCTAATTCTCTTTAGCTCAGTTCCGTGACGGGCTTTTATAGGTTTAACTGAGTCACGCTAACCTAGTTTAAGTGTTTGGCCCCAGAGCCAGACCACCTGTGTTCAAATCTTAGCTCTCCCACTTTCTTACTGTGTGATGAAGGACAAGTTTCTTGACCACTCTGTGCTTTAATTTCCTCATGTGTAAATGAGGCAAATAATAGGGCTGCTTCATAGGGCTGGCGTGGGGCCTTATTAGATAGCAGGTAACAGAGTCACTGCTGGCTAGCATGCAAGCTACACATCGTAGTCCATTCATTCTTGGACTCTCCTGGAGGACTCCGTCATACTTTCTTCTTCACCTCCCATGAGCTCACTTTTTTGTTGGTGACCTGGCTTCCAGTTTCATTGAGAAAGTTGTTGCAACTGGAAGAGGATGTCTGCAGGCTCCCACCACCCTATCTGCCACCCCCCTGCATGTAGGCCCACACACTCAGCCTTCTCCCGGTCACCGTGGGTGAACCAACTGTCATCACACCTCCATCTCCACGGCATCATCCATTTCTTCTTTCTCCTGGATCATTCCTGTAAGCATTCAAGCTTGTTATTTTTTAGCCCATCATTTAAACACGCCTCTCTTGGTGCCAGTTTCCTCTCGGACAGCACCGTTTCTCTCCTTCGTTTCTGAGCAAAGCTTTGGTATGAATTGTCTACACTTGCAAATGTCTCTGCTATTATTCTCTTCGAATGCCCTCTGTTGATGTGGTTGCCCCCATAACTCCACAGGAGATACTCCTATCAAGGGCATCGATGACATCGCTGTCAGTAAACCCACTGGTCATTTCTCCATGTCATCGCACTGACTTATCAGCTTTGGACACATTTGATCCTTGTCTCCAACTCTGAGCCTTCTTCTTCTTGGCTCCAGGACTGTTCCTGGCCTGGTTGTCTGCCTGCCTTTCTGGCTGCTCCAGCTCTGTTTCTTTGCTGCTTTCTTCTCATCTCTCTGGCCTCTAAATATTGAAGGAAACCAAGACTCGGTGGGCTTCGTTTCCATCCACACCCACACCATGATGAGTCCATCTGTCTCAAAGCTCTCAATGTCACCTGTCTGATGCCTCCAGTATAGATTTCCAGCCAGACCCTCCCCTGGACCCCAGATCATACATATCTCTGCCATCTCAAACTAGACATGTCTGAAACTTCTATTTCAGGGACCAGGCTGAAGAAAGAGTGGTGACCTGAGGCATATTCTTCTCATTGTGAATGAAAGGAGCGTAAGAGGGAAGAACCACACAAGTATACTTAAAGCCTCTGGTCACAGCATGTTTGCTCATATTCCAGTGGCTAACTCACATCACATGGTCAAGTCCAAAGTCAGTGAGGCAGGAAGTACACCCTCCCTGAGGGGATGGGAGAAGAAGAAGGCAGGGAATATTTATTTGCTGATAAAAACTCCAACCCATCACACCAACCCACTTTACCCAGCTACCCTCTGGTCTCCCCAGGGCTGCAGGACTCCTCTGAACCTGACTCAGCCAACTGGAAACTTTGAAGCTCCCCCACCCTCTTCATTAGTACCTGCCAGACAGAAACACCACTGCTCATTTTTTCTGCCCTGACTTGGGTTGGGGTAGTAGATAGCTACCCTGAGCCCCAGCAGCATCTTCACCATCCAAAGTTTCAGTCCTGGGACCTTTAACTCAGGAACTCTGACAATATTGTGAAGCAGCACTTAGAAACATATAGGGAACTTCCTTTACTGTTTAGGGTGGGTTCCTGTAAGTCTTGGAAAAACTCATGACTGAGGGGGAAGTTGGTTGTGAGTACTTGGAAACGGCGATCGGAGGAAAGGCACCCCCGGAAAGGCCTAACACAGCAGCCTTCCCTCTGAAGAGCCCCCATAACTCCACAGGATGGGTCAGCCAGCTGCCTGGCTAGGGGTACAGGGCAGCTCCCCACTGCAGCGCCGCTCCCCTCATCCTTTCTTCCAGAAAATGAAGAACAAGATGTCTTATCTGGTCCCGAAGCTACAATCAGCATCTGTAATAGCAAAAGCAAAAATTCATTCATCTATTTGCTTATTGAGTGCTAACCATTTATTGAGGAAGGACTTGAATTTGCTATACACACTCACGAACAAGCAGTCTTGGTTTCTGCTCCCGTTCAACTTACTATCTATTGAGAGTGAAGCACAATTAAGTAAATAGTTAAACACAGCATGAGAAGGGTTATGTTGGAGGAAACTATGGAAGTTTATGTCAGAGGGGCATACTTGGGACATGGGGAATGAGGGAAGGCTTCCTGGAGGAAGTGTCCTTTAAATTAAAGCTTGATGAATGAGTTATGGGGGCAAGAAGATTGGAAAAAGGCTTCCAGACAAAGCAAACCGCATGCAAGAGGCACAGAGGCAGAAAAGATCTCATCAGGTGGCTCCAGAAATGGATGAAAGAGGTGAGATAGAGGAGAGATGAAGCTGGAGAGACAGACAGGGCTGGACCGGGGCAGGATCCCTGGTAAGCCTTGGTAAAGAGTTTTGACTTTACCCTGGGGCAGGGGTGATGAGGCTGTGGCTGTGTGTAGGGAAAGAAGGGAAAACAACTCAAGAGCACCCAGGTGATAGGATTGCAAGCCCCAGCGAATTTCTACCACAGTCTGGCTCCAGTCCCTGGAGGGTTGGAGGCTCCAGTCACAGAGATGGGCAGGGCACAAGGTGGAGGGCTGCTAATGAGGAGTAGGGTGGGCTGTCAAGGTAGCCCAGGTAGAAGATGCTGGGCTCAGTTTGGGAAATGCTATGTTTAGAGACCTAAGGGGCACTTAGGTACAGACGTCCTGCCGGTATGTGAACCTACAGCTCAGTAGACATTCATTTATTTATTCATTCATTCATTCATTCACTCACTCCATAAACATTTATCCGAGACTGTGCTGGATGCTGAGTAAACAAGGATGATTAAGAACCTAATCCTCAAATGACTCATGAGAGAGGCGTGTAAACATAACGGCAGTGCTGTTCCAGGTACAAAAATAGTGCACGCACAGGGCGGGGTGAGAACGGGAAGGCTGAATTCTGCTTGGGTGGCCAGGGATGGCTTCCCGGGACAGGTGACCCAGGAGAGAGCAGCCGGGCAGGAGGCAAGGTGGGGCATGGGAGGAGGATGTGCTGGGCTGATGGAATAGCAGATCGCTGCTAAGATGATAAATCCTTTTAGGGAAGTACCAAGAATGGTGTGTGGCTACAGGAAAAGGCTGGAGGAGGGGACAGCAGAGGTGGCAGGGGCCGCTGGGCCTCTGGCACTGGCTGAGGAGTTGGACTCTATCCTAAGAGGCGGTCATTGGAGGAGTTTTTAAACAACCTTTTTATTGTTATTTTTACCATTTTAGACGTCTATGCAACTTTATATGAGCATAAAGAAAATGAAAATCATTGTTACCATTTAATGTGTAATGAAAAATTTTCCCATTCTCGGTTTCCATCTCTCTCACTCTTTCTGTTTATCTGTATATGTAATATATGTATATATGCACTTTTAACTTTATTAAGAAATAATTGACATGTGTAATTGTATATGATTAAAGTGTACAATGTGGTGATTAGATATACCTATACACTGTAGAATGATTACCAAGATCAAGATAATTAACACACTTGTCACCTCACATAGTTAACAATTACCCTTTTTGTGTGTGTGTGGTGAGAATGTTTAAAATCTACTCTACTCTCGGCAACTTTTTAAGCACACAGTACCATATTATTATAGTTACCATGCTGTACATTCAGCCCCATATGTATGTGTTTTAAAATTTAAAAATAGTGGTTGTACCAGATCTCACTTATATGTGGAATCTCATGAACAAAATAAACTGACAAACAAAATAGACCCAGAGACATTGAAGCATGCAATAGACTGAAGTATTTCAGAGGGAAGCAGGGGGGAGGAGGGGGAGGAGGAAGAAATTAACCAAAAAACTTATATACATATATTCATAACCCATAGACACCAACAACAGTGCCGTGAAGGCTTGGGGAGGGGGCAGGAGCTCAGTGAAGAAGGTTAGTGGGGGGAAAAAGGGAACATCTTTCAACAATAAAGATAAATTTTAAAAATAAAAATTAAATTATTTAAAAATAGTGTGCAGGTTGTGTTATAAACTGTTATGTTATATTCCCTTGACAAAAAACAGATCTGTCATGAAGCATTTTCTAAAACATCATTATTAATAACCTCATAACCTCACAGTTTTTAATTATGTGATGACAGTCTTTAACACATCTCTGTGTCATTGAGCATTTGAGATGTGTACAAATTTTCAC